TTTGAGACTCGTATGTTTTTCAAGTAAAGTGATTACAATTGAAATAATAATGCCTTAAAGCCTTGACATTTCTCCCAAAGGCCAGGCCAATGCGATGCCAGAATTACATATCCTTGTGATTTTATAACATAAGCCCATGCATCTGACCCGTCAGGCATCGAAGCCGAATAGTGCAGACTGCTAAGCCTAAGCCCACCTCTTATATAAACGACAAAGGGTTTTCTGTGAGCAGCCGCTGCCATATTTACTCAAAAAAAGAGAGTACAAATTAAATAGTATTTGATGAATTAATAGTGTATAGTTTTTATACACAATCAGGTTAATAGTAAGACATTTAATTTATATCATTAAAAAATCAGCTTTACAAGAACTACTATGAAAAACGTAGAATGCACATCCAGGAGCTTGTGTCTCATGTAATCACAAAAACTGGAACACAACCAATACCATTAAATCCTGATACCTCGCAAAACGGCAGTTTAATATTAATCTTTTATTTCCCTTAAATAATATTTCATTAATGATACGTCAGGATTTGATTATCTAATAGTATATAGAAATTAATACACTGCCAATCCATTAAATATTTTCTCATACTAAATACCCTTTTTTTTCTTGATAATTTAAACATGGCTTCTTTTTTTTTTTTCCTTCATGGAGAATAAACAGGGTAAATGCAGCGCATATGCCACTAATAGCGGAGGATGAAGATTAGCACTGATTAACTGCTTGAAAATTAGCATTGAATTCAAATTTGTCAACATAGTGGCTTCAACTTCAAAGTATATTAAACCTATCTCATACTCTTCAAAATAATTAATGTTGTACAGTATGGATTTCAAGCCGTCTCCTTATTCATGAACCCATCAAATGGACAATAACTTACATCTTTTTCTAATCAATCTAATGGAGATGGAAATTAAAAAGAAAATTCCAATAATAATACTAATGAAAAAAGCAAAAGTTTGACTGGGCATGTTTTATGGAAATGCAATTGTGTTCATGTTGACTTTGGGATTGCCATCATTCATCGACAGTGAGCACATGTGACCTGCATGATGAACCCAAGGAGGGAACAATGTTTGATTTAAAATGGCAAAGATGCAACATAGCAGCCTCCAGATATAAATAAGTAAAATACAGCGTAATGCAGCCAAAGATGCTTAAAAAAATGGGTTCAAGCGTGTTTCATGGGATCAAAATATTCGGATAGTAGCACCACGCACCTTTGCATTATCCGAGGATCTCTGAAATTCAGTTACTGCATTAAATGCTTGTTTGGTTTAATTTTTTTTCAACTTATTTATCTCTTAAAAATAAAAATCAAATTAAACATAAATTTTAAAAAAAATTTAAAAAAAGTAATTTTTTTAAAAAATAAAATTTAAAAAAAAAGAGCTTTTGAAAAAGCTTCTATGAAGATCTTTTTCTTCTCTTTTTTTTATAATACAAAAAAAAAATTATTTTTGTTTCAAAAATATCCTCATCTGTTAAAAATAATTACAATATAACTCTAGCAAAAAAAATATCTTTTACAATAATTTTAACCAAAATTATAACTTATAAAAAAAAT